TGACTTGACTTCTGGTTCTGTGTCTGCTGACATTGACACAGATATCTCCTTCTTTACGCTTTCGTCACTGGATTTCAAGCAGAGTTGGACAGTTTCCACAAAGCTGGTTAGGGAAGTTCCTGGAGTGATAACAGGATTGTAGACAGTTCCCAAATGCCCCACTTGTAAAATTCTGAAGTTTGGATTACTCTTTAGGTACTGGAAAAAATGTCCAGCTACCCTCAGGAATAGTGTAGCCCAGCTTCTAGGATCTTATCATTTCCTGAGGGTTTTCCACATGTATTTGTAGGGATGCCTGCTGGCTGGCAAGGCTCAGGAGTTAACTAGACCTGCCACTACCAAGTGAAAGAACTTGATTAGTTCATTTCTTTTCTCAAAACCTAAGTTTCCTCATCTTTTAATGGAAGATAAAATGGCACTGCAGTATCTACCTCATCAGATGGTAAAAGTTAAATAACATGCAAAATGTAGTATAGCATCATCTGACATAAAAAGCGCTCATAAATAGTAGTGATAGGAGGAGTTATTTTTACTGTTATCTCTGAGGCATTCACCTTTCTTTATGTAATCCTTAGTATTATACATTCTTTTCTGAGGAACTCATTTTGAAGTCTATTACCCTAACTCTTAAAAATTAAGCCAGTGCCAAGTCTAGGACAGTTTGAGTACTGAAGTAAATGATGGTAATAAAGTTGTATAATCCATTGAATAGAATAAGAATTCACGGATCCACATTGATAGGAAGGAAGGAAGGGAGAAACAAAGAGGGTAAGGTCTTCCTTGCAATAGTATGTGAAATAAATGTAGAAGGAATGATGAAAATAGAAAATCACCACTTGACAACCGTTGAAGTTTATAAATGTTTTGGTCAAGAATCATCAGGGGGTGCTAAACTAGGAAGTGAAAGTTTGAGGAGTAACAAGATATTTGCATAGTTTCAAAGTTAATCCCCATAAGATACTTACTAATTACAAAGCGACAATGGAGAAACCTGGCAGACACCAGCTTAACCAAGTGATGAAAGTATCACCAGAAACGGGACAAATTGACAGCATGTGCCTCCTGATACGATGCATTGAGAAGAACACACCCGTCTTTTGTGAGTTTGCTACCAAATGTACATAACCTGAATGTAATGAGGAGATAATAGCAAACAAACCCCAACTGAGGGACATTTTACAAAATAACTGGCTTGTAGGTTGCAAAAACAAAACACAAGAGAAGCCTGAAGAACTGTTCTAGATTAAAGGAGACGACAGAGACCTGACAACTGAATGCAACCTATGATCCAGGATTTTTTTCCTATAGAAGATATTATTGGGACAACTGGCAAAACACGAAGACAATCTGGAGATTGGATAATGTTAATATTAATTTCCTAATTTTGATCATTGTACCATGAGCATGTAAGAGAATGCCTATGTTTTTAAGAAACACACATTGAAATATTTAGGGATAAAGGGGCACCAGGTTTGCAACTGACTCTCAAATAGCTTAGAAAAATTATATGCGTATATATATATCTAGAGACAGAAAGAGAGACTGAAAGAGGGAGGAAGAGAAAGAGAACAAAACAAATGTAGTAAAACGCTAATGTTAATTAGCTAATATTAATGGAGTCCCTGTGTGATGCAAATGGTTAAGGCACTCAGCTGCTAAAAGAAAGGTTGAAGGTTCTAGTCCACCCAGAGGTACTTTGGAAGAAAAGCCTGGTCTACTTCAAAAAAAGCAGCCACTGAAAACTCTATGGAGCACAGGGTCACCATGAGTTGGAGTAACTCCACAGCAACTGTTCTGTTAATAATATGCTAGTGAGGGGTATAGGAGCCCTGGTGGTGCAGTGGTTAAGTGTTTAGCTGCTAACTAAAAGGTCGACAGTTTGAACCACCACCTATTCTGTGGGAGAAAGATGTGGCAGTCTGCTTCCTTAAAGATTACAGCCTTGGAAACCCTATGGGACAGTTCTACTCTGTCCTATAAGGCCACTATGAGTCAGAATGAACTCGATAGCAGTGGGTTTAGTTTTGGTTTGGTTTTTAGTGAAGGGTATACAGAATTCCTTATACTATTCCTATATCTTTCCTATAAGTCTGAAACTTAGTCAAATTAAAAAGTTAAAATGAAAAAAGAACAAGTCAGTGCCACTTCCTGTCCTTTAGATAGAGAAGTTCATTGGCCACTTTGTATTTAGATTCCTGACCCATCTCCATCCACACCTAAGTGTCCATCTCCATCATCATTGCACTGCTCAGTGTCTGTCGCCAAGCTTCTCTGCTGTGACATTGCTGGCTAGTCACCACACACTGCACACAGTCTTCAGGCTTTTCACTTCATTTTTTAAATTCCCTAAGAAGCCCCTCCCTCTCCGCACGCCCCCTCCCTCATTCTTAGTGCCATGCACATTATGCACTTCACTTCAGGGCTTCTTTCTTCTCTTTCCCCCAACTGAACACTGCTTTCAGAATTAAAAGTGGAACCCTAGGTTAAATCTTATCCCTTGGGGTGCAACGGTGAACAGACCTTGGATGGTAGACCTGTCTCTTCCTCTGACTCACTTGGAAAAGTCATACCAGTTTCCCTAGTTATAGCATGAAAAATATGTACTAAATGGTCTCTGAAGATTTCTTAACCTCCAGAAGTATATGCCCCGGACTAATTCACTCTTTTTTTGTGTGTGTGTGAAAATATACACAACAAAACATATACCCATTCAACAATTTATACATGTACAGATCAGTGTCATTGGTTACATTTTTCACATTGCGTCAGCCCTAATTCAGTCTTTAAAGTGCTAGAACTGTAACTCAAAAGTAGCTCAACCCAACCAAAGGAAAGACAGAGGTTATAGTAAGGGAACCACTTCAGATATCATGTCATTATCATTTTCCCTTCTGTCAGCTTTGAAGTTTCCATGTTCAGGGATTTGCCTTTCAAAAGTACAAAATTATAACAATAGATAAGTGGTAACTTTGGTGAAGGATAAGACAGTACACAATACTGGGGAAGTCAGCACAGCTTGACCAAGGCAAGGTCATGGAAGCTTCATAGACACATCCAAACTCCCTGTGGGACTGAATTACTGGGCTGAGGGCTGGGGACCATAGTCTCGGGGAACATCTAGCTCAACTGGCATAATATAGTTTATAAAGAAAATGTTCCACATTCTACTTTGATGAGTAGCATCTGGGGTCTTAAAAGCTTGTGAGCTGCCATCTAAGATACTCCACTGGTCCCACCTCGTCTGGAGCAAGGGAGAATCAAGAAAAACCAAAGACACGAGGGACAGATTAGTCCAAAGGACTAATGGACCACAACTACCACAGCCTCCACCAGACTGAGTCCAGCACAGCTAGATGGTGCCCAGCTACCACCACTGACTACTCTGACAGGGATCACAACAGAGGGTCCTGGACAGAGCTGGAGAAAAATGTAGAACAAAATTCTAACTCATAAAAAAAGACCAGACTTACTGGTCTGACAGAGACTGGAGAAACCCCGAGAGTATGGCCTCTGGACACCCTTTTAACTCAGTACTGAAGTCACTCCTGAGGTTTACCCTTCAGCCAAGGGTTAGACAGGCCCATAAAACAAACAGTAACACACATAGCTCAACCACATATACGAGACTAAATGGGCACACCAGCCGAGGGACAAGGACAAGAAGGCAAGAGGGGACAGGAAAGCTGGATGAATAGAAATGGAAAACCCAAGATCAAGAAGGGGACAGTGTTAACATGCGTGGGGTTGGCAGGCAATGTCACAAAACAATATGTGTATTAATTGTTTAATGAGAAACTAATTGGCTTTGTAAATCTCCATCTAAAGTGCAATAGAAGAATAAAAAAAAGTGCAAAATTAGTCCCTGGGTGGTGCAAACTGTTAAGATGCTCAGCTGCTAACCAAAAGGTTGGAGGTTCAAGTCCAGCTAGAGGCATCTCAGAAGAAAGCCCTGGCAATCTACTTCCAAAAAATCAGTAATTGACAACCCT